ATAGTGTTAGGGTGCAGAGAGCCAATGCCTCATCAATCTTCAAACGCTTCGCCCTCGTTAAGACTGGATTACCAGCAGGAAGGGGCGTGACAAGTTTTGCATACTTGGTCTCAAGAGCAGGCAGACAAAGGAAACCCATTGGTGGAGTCTCCGTCTCCGTACTGAGAAAAGGCGTTCAGGTAAGACCAACGCCCCTTTTCTTTATACACAGTCGCCATTGTCAATTTATAATTTCTTTCCCATAGTTGCTGCCATCTATCTAATTCAATTGTGTACCCAAAATTCCTTGTCCATTTTATCATTGTCTCTTTCACTTGTTCCTCCTCTAACTCCATATGTAGTAGATAACTGTACATTTACTTATTTCAATATCTCAAAAGCTGCACTTCTGAATTAAGTAGCAACAATGCAATTACGAGTTAAAAGAAGATGTTTGTCTAGAATTTGACATTTCATCAATACTATTTAAAATGAAGGACCAAAAAGTAAATCTCATAAAACTCTTAGGAATATTAAAAATCAATAAGAGAGATAGTGTGTGATTGCTAATACTGTCAATCCTGTCATCTTTTCTTCCTCAACCTACATAGGAAGAAAGCAGTTGCTTGACTCCTTCAGACAACACCTGGGACATTTAGCCACAGAATCTAATGTGAATTGTGCCCTTCAACAGGAGGTTAGTTTAAAAGCCAGCTAGCAAACTTTAAGGCATGTAATCATATCAATTTTTGTCAGCTTGCAAATTTCTATTACGTAGGAGAGCACTTTTGATCAGTTTGGGATAGCTAAGCTTTGTTTCCTGTCTTTTTCTTTATTTCTTTCAATCACTGAAACCAAGGCTCTGAGAACATTAAATTCATTGTTGGCTAATGTCACCCGTGAGGAGAAGAAGGCATTTGCTGCCTCTGAAGAGATGTGCTTGCTTATGTAAGTCAACTTTTCATGTCAGGATTATATTTTTATTTATTTTTCACATTCCTTTATCGCCTACCACCCTTAAAAATATTTGAAGGGTATCCCTTTTATCTTTGACTTCATTTTCTGCAGTAGTGATTAAGAGACAGTATTTCTTAACCATCAACATTTGCAAAATTAATAACAGCAGGGTATATAAATAAAAATCTTACTTTTTGTCTTAATTGGTTGCATTTACCAGTTTCTCAGGGTTGTTTTTTTTTTCTGACCTGCAAAAGAAGGATGCAAATCAGAGTCTTTAACTATGATTACTTCTGGAACTGACTCATTTGTCTTGCTTCTCTGCTTCCATTATTGGATAAGCAGTTAAATAATTAATATAGATCCAACTGGTCCTAGTTTTTCCCCCCCCAAAAGAATATGAGCAATTTAGCAATAAATCCTTTGCAGTCCATTGGGTTACATATACCGGTAGTTTGTTTTCAATTTTGATCTGTTTGTATTTTACTTCCAAAAATTTAATCTCAAATTACTGCTTTACTCTTCCAAGAAATCAGTGTTCTTAATGGGCTATGTTGTTTCAGGAAGGAACTTGTGAAAACTATTCAGGAAGTTGGTGGTAAGAAACGTTTGATACCTTGATCAGAGCTGGGGAAATTCTGAATTGAAAATACGGAGCTGGAATTTAAGATGGTGAACAGAGAGGGAGAGAATGGCACGAGAGTCAGGAACTTAACCTGTCCCTTACCATGCCTTGCCTAAGAATTGGAAATACAAATTTAACCTTTAATTTTAATTTTATTCTTTTTGGTGCACTATCTTAGTACATTTTGTAGATTGACATTTGCCCAAAAGGTAATAAAGGCAGCATTGGGAGTCGGTATGGAGGTGCTGGGGTAGAAACCAAGAGGTTTAGTTGCAGCAGTATTATGCTCACCACCTTGAGTTAGGCTGAGAGCCAGTTTGATGTACTGGTCAAAGCACCAAGGTAGAAACTGGGAAACTGGGAGTTCTAGTTTTGTCTTGGACACAAAACCAGTTATGTGACCTTAGCCAGTCACTTTCTCTTAACCCTAGGAAGGAAGCAAATCCCTGAAGAACTTTTGCCAGGCAATTTCCGAGAATTGGATTGGACTGGATGGAATAAAAATATAATTTGGGCAAAATGTAAACAATGCAGTAAAGTTTTCAATTTAAACTTCTGATGCTATGATAGAAATGAGTTTCTTACTGCTTTGAAAAGATGATGGCCAGGCTGGGGTGAAGGTAGCTAAGCTTGCTATTTTGAAAAAAAAAATAATCCCTTTTTTTCCTGCAGACTATGATATTCAGGTTGCTCTTGTTGAAGCCCTGTTTAGGCTGATGTTGAAAAAGCAGCGAGATGATCTGGTGCACAGTTGGTTTGAAGATCAATATATCACTAAGGCTTTTAAAGAAATCAAGGATACAGAGTTTGAGACTGTAAGGGTTTTTGTGATTCATATCAGAAATAAAGTCATGGTTTTCTCAATTGGGGAAGGGGAAAAAAGGAATCAAACATCAGTGGTATCTTTTACATTTATAGGTCAGTAATACAGAATATACAATGGTACATCAATACTCATCATTAATTGGTTCCAGGAGGCACAATGAGTACCAAAAATGATGAGTTCCAGACAAATTTTCAGTGAGTCACAAGGCAGCCAGCATTGACAAATTCTAGCTTGTGTATCGAGTACCAAACAAACGATGAGTACTGGGACAAAATTTTCACAGCAATGCATTGAGTACCAAATTTGATGAGCCTTTCAAAGCAATTGAGTACCAAGGTACTTCTGTATAACAATCCAGATTTGAATTTCAGCTTTGGGTATTCCTCACCTTTAAACTGGGAGAATAATAGTTCAGCAGAGTTTTGCAGATTCATTCCTGCAAAAGGCTATTCATAATTCAGTTTTGGGATGATTTGTGCTACTGAAACTAAGCCAAGTAATAGTCCATTATAATTATGACATGAATATTTTTGCACATTGTCTTGAATAACCATTGGAGAGAACATGTACTTTCTATAATATTCCCTCCTCCTCAACTTAGCAGGAGAGCACTTTTTAAAAATAAATGTTAACATTCTTTTTTTTGCCTTCAAGGATAGCAGAAAGTTTCTTAATGAACTAAATGAAAGACTTGGTGATAAAAGAAGGTAAGTCTTTGCTGTGAACCTTCACCAGATGGCCATAATGGTACACAGCTGATTCTACCAATGGGGATTTTTTAAAGAGAGAGGGATGCTAGCTGATAGTTAGGTATTAACTATTATTTCAAACTATTGGAAAGATTTTTTATTTCAGTATTGAGCCTTTGAGATAGTAAGGGTAAGTAATGCAAGATATTCAATATCAACTGCATTTTTGTACAGAATAGTACAACTGATGTTCATTAAAACAAATGATTCCTGTAGTTCTATAACATTTAAGGCCATAGATACAATATGAATTATTCTTTAATGCCATTACTATCCTCTTGAATTTTTAAAAAACCTTGAAAGCAACAACTTTTGAAAAGGTGGGGGCTGGCTTATTCATGCAGGATCAGGAAACACATTCTTTTAAAAATGTGTGGATATCAAATTTTGAATCACATTAATACCTATGCTGATATTATCAGGTGGTATGAGATGCAGTAATGTCAGAAGTTGATTGTCAGGTAGATTCGTCCATTTTCCATGCCAGTTTCATTGCCCCCTGCCATACCAGTGCAGAAAACAACCATATTGGCAAACTATCTTACTTAATTTGGAGTTCTGATATTACCTTAAGAGTGCGGAAAGGGAAGTACCTCTCTTAATGAAGTGTGAATTGCTGATGAAGCATGGAATTAGATGTGGGCTTGCTTTATTTTCCACAACATGTTGACATAAGATAGTGCTGACCTACCTTAAAAATCTCCAAACAGGTTTGCTAGCCCAGGATAAATCACTCTTTCTCATGTTGTGTCTTGCTAAGTTAGATATTTTGCTAAGCAACACTTCACATAGATTTGCTTCTTAAGTCATGAGAAAACTTCATGGATAACATGATTTTGTGTTTGTTAGTAATGCGTTCTTGATTTGTGTGCTTAAATCATACCTGCCAGCACTATTTCTATGAATTATTTAGGAATTTTTTTATCTATTTAGGCCACATTCAGTGCAATAGGGCAAAAGATACATGTTCTCTAGTTCACTTGTAAAACCACCTAGATGTAGGATGCTTTGAAGAGCCTTATTGTCTTAGTAAATACTCTGATTAATACAGTTTTAAAAAACCCTCTCTAGATCCAATGTTACTTTGTGATGAGAATAGATTTGTTGCATTTTTGAAGGTTCAGGATGAAGTATGTCTTAATTGGGGGACAACACATTGCTGTACAGATCCAGATTGACTTCAGTTGATAGTTTAGATAAGCTTGATCTTCTAATTTTTGCTTATCATTCAGGCTTTTACAACCTGAAAACCTCTAGATCAGTGGTTCTCAACCTGTGGGTCGGGACCCCATTTGGGGTCGATCGACCATTTCACGGGGGTCACCAAGCAAGGCTGTCCGCCATTTTTTTTGTCCGCCATTTTTTCCCCCTTTTCCAGCGGGTGCCTTACCTCCCTTGGGCTGGGCCAGCTGGTGGTCGGCCTGCTCGGTCTCTGCCGCTTGCCAGCTATGCCTCGGCCGGCGCAGGGGGCGGAACCACGCATGCGCGGCACTCCCGGGCAGGGAAAGTCCTCGACTTACGACCGGTTGGGTAGTCCTCGACTTACGACCGGTTTAGTCCTCGATGTACGACCGGTTTAGTCCTCGACTTATGACCGGTTGGGGTCGCGGCATTAAAAAGGTTGAGAACCACTGCTCTAGATCAGGGGTGTCAAACTGCCTGCATCACCAGGAAACTGTACCCACCCCATTGCCGGCAATGGAGAAAAAGCTCCGATATGTCACGTGACGTTGCGAGTTTGACATGTCTGCTCTAGATTAATTAGGCCTGAGTTCCAAGCTACACCCACTACATCTATTCTAGAAGCAGATTGGAATAGAGGTTGTGTTTCAGGATCAATGAAAAATTTTCTTATTTTTCAGGATCTGTTCAATTCCATGTAAAGCTGCTTACGCTGACCTGATTGAGGTAATTAAGCTAGCAATTACATTGTGATTTTATGAAATATTGAAAGTATAGAGATTTTAATAGGGTTACAGTGTTTACTGTATTACCTATTCTTTCTAGTTTAATAATGGGACAGTATTATTTGGGGGAAATTAATTATTTCTGTTACTACCTTTAGGGGGAGAGAGCTAATGAAAGTCAAACAAAATGTGAAAATATTTTTATGTAACTTTGAGAAATAATTATATTGTGATTCTTTTTGTTGCTGTTCCTGATTTCTTGGGTATATGAACTTTTCAGCTGTTGAACAGAAGTGTTGAAAACAGTCCTCAGGAAAAACTGATGCAGATAATTCCACCCATTCTTGAATGCTAGCAAAATAAAACTAGGAAATGGCAATTTCTTATTTTATAGCCACTGAAGGAAAAAGTACTTGGGACTTTGTGGGACATGTCATTCTTTCTAACTGAGATATTGTTTTATTATACCTTTTAGAATTATGTTTTGTTCAGGTCTGAAGTGTCTCTTGTACCCACAGTTTCAGAAATTGTTTCCAAAATTGCATATATTCTGCTAGTACTAAATATTAAAGCTTAATCACCTTTAATTCATTATGCAACAAAGAGTCAGGTAACTTATATTTTGCTAAATAGTGACTTCATTGGAAATTATTTGTTTTGAAGAAGGAAAAACTTTCAGAAGCTTTACTATCCCTTTTGCTGATGCTTAAAACCTCAGGATATTAAAGCAGTGGAAAGTCTCTTGAGGACTCTGTGCAAGCGAAGGGGAGCAGTTGAGGCTCTCTTAACATGTAGCAATGTACTATATAGCTTGTTTCTTGGGTTTCCAAAATGCAAAGTTACATTGTACTGAATTTCTTTGGGAGGTAGAAATCAAATTGAGACTGTTTTCTTTTTATATCCAAGTTAAAGAAACCTGCAGATAACACACTAGAAGAGTTTTGGATTGACTTCAATTATGGAAGTGAGAGCATAACATTCTATTTAGAGAGCCTAGAGGTAAAATAATTAATTTTTTTAAAAATGGGCCTTTATTTACTTACTTAATTACTTACTTACTTACCTGCCATTAACATGACTTTTACCTCAAATATTGTTTTTCAGGGCACATTTTGGGAGTCAGTAAGATTGCCAAAGCAAGACCTCAGCAGTTATTACCTACAGGGTAAGCCCATCAGAGATTACTCTCAGCAGAAATATTTATGCTTAAGTTGAGCTTTTGAAAATGTGTGTCATTTTTGGTTGCACATATTAAACATCATGAAAACATGGCAGAACTACATACCTCCATTGCTTCGGTGCTGCAAGTGCTTAGGCCAGTGGTGGCGAACCTATGGCACGGGTGCCAGCGGCGGCACTCAGAGCCCTCTCTGTGGGCACGCGCACCGTCGTCCCAGTCCTAGGCCTTAAGCTGGATTTTATAAAACCTTTTCGCTTTAGGCCTCCGCCGCCGTGTACAAAAAAGGTCCAATCAGTCAATTTCAACTTCTCGCGGGAAAAAAAAGATCTTGCAAAGTTGGAATTGATTGATTGAACTTTTTAGTCCCACCCAGTCTGCCGTTACCACTGCAGTCACGCCCACCCAATGGACCACGCCCACCCGGCACCCGACGATGCATAAGTGGGTTTTGGGTTGCAGTTTGGGCACTCAGTCTCTAAAAGATTCGCCATCACTGGCTTAGGCCTTGAGTGCGTGATTTCCACTCTTCTCCAGGTTTATCTGGAACACTGTTGAATGTGTGTACAACTTCCCCCACCTCTAGGTTTAGGAGCTGGGAAAGATGCCATATGCAGAGTCACCTGGGAATAAAGCTGCATGTTGGCTTCTTTCCCCCAGAGTCAAGAATTCTAATTTCTCTCACAGGTTGCAATAGAAATGACCTTAAAAGTGCAGATCACAGCAGTTGGAGAGGTCAGTGGTAAACCAGAAGACTGTTGATCTCTGAAGGCTTCTCCTCCCTATGCCATAGAATATTTGTATTGCATTAAGAGGAGGCGTAATACTTGCATGCCAGAACACGTAAAGTCATCCCGGGGTTTCCTTATGAGTGGGTCCATCATGGGGATTTGCTCTTAGCAAATGACTAGCAGGGCATCTTCACGAATGGCACAAGTACAGCTTAAGAAACTGCCCCATTTCAATGCATCTGGAGCTAGCCATGTATAGGTTGGAAACTAACAGAGACAAGGAAAGGCAGTAAAGTTCCTTCTTTCACCTTTTTAAACAATTCATATGCAAGGTGACATCATTTCTTTTGTATATGTACTATATGGATAGATTGGCTGGTTGGGTTCTAAGGTGTCACATAATTCTTTAAGCTAATTGACAGAAGAATATCCGAGAGATGGAAGAATATTTTGATTTCTGCAAAAAGTTCCTTGATCTTTGAGAGCTCATTTTGGCATGGATTGAAGATGAATTCTATTTGATGGTGTAATGAACAGTGTTGCATTTTGCTCCAAGTTGTGTCTATCCCCAAAGTCAAGTATGTATGTATGTTGTGGTTGTGGTTGTGGGGTGATGATGATGATGATGATTTTATTTCGAAGGATAGATATGGATTTTCATACCAAAATAGCTGGAGCTGCTGCTTTGGAAATTCTGAGCTGTGGAGATCACTATTTGGTCTTTTGTTTCAAACAGCAGAATATGTCATACAGATTCTGGTGCCTAATAAGTATTATGGGATGCTTCACTGAAGCTATTCTGAGAAAGTTGCCGATTGTGGGAATGACTAGAAAATGCATGTGTTCTTTTTTTTTTTTTTTGCATAAAGAGGAACAAGAAGAAAAGATTCTTAAAATCATCATGAGAAGTTCTGTTGTGATCAACAAAGCAGAAATCACCAAGATCAGAATTCACTTTGATAGCTGTTTTGATATTTTAGCACCGCTCTTTAAAGCTATTGGAAAAGAAAAAATGGTAAGGAGGGGAGGGGTTTGGGGGTGTGTGAATTACCCATCAACTTTTGTCTAGTAAGAACTCTATAGGTTTTTACAGTTTTGTATCAAACTAAGCTGTTATTTTTTTATTTGAATATTGTTAGAAATTTCT